AACAAACCTTTTTCATTTATAAATTAATTGTCTCAGGCATTTTGTTATACTAATGTAAAGCTGACTAATATCAATTTTCTTCAGAATGAAGTTTTACACCTGTATCTAAGTTCTCTAGTACATATGCCATTTTAGAAAAACAGAGGAGGGGCATGACATGGATAACCTTAGTCCAGGAGGGCTAGATTAACTTTTAAAACTAGAACATTTGTTTTCATTTTATTCTTTATAAATATTTCATGATTCAGAAAGCAATCACAGATAAGGGAAATTAAATTTAAGGGAGAAAGGCAAGTTCTTTAGAGTAGAATATGGCAGACTGTGTGATACTATTGGAATGAGGAAAGGGCCGGGTCCGGAGACCCCTGATGAACAGTGGTCATCCTCATACACATGTAGCTTGGAGAACCATTAAGGGGAAGGAGGTGCTGTGACGGACTGTTATTAGTCTAAACTGAGTCTGCCATGTTTGTATGGACAAAATGGTTTGCTGGATGCTGTGGTTTGAATATTTGTCTCCTTCCCAATTAACATTGAAATTCAATAGTTGTTTTAGTGTTATGACCAGGTGGAAACTTTAATAAGTTGTTAGGCTGTGAGGGTTGCACCCTTTCCATGAGATTTAAAGGGCAATTAGTACCCCTCTTCCGGTCTCTATGCTTTCACTTTCTGTCATGTCCCTGAGCAGGTGGCTGACTTTGATACTGGATTTCTTGCTTCCAGTGAGACAAGGATCATGCAGCTTGTAGCATTTTGTTATAGCAGCACTGATGGATAACATAGTAGATGAAGCATAAGTTGGACAGGAGCCAGGATTGCAAGGGCCATGGGCCCCTTCTGGGTTCAGTGAAGACAGGCTGTGTTTTGAAGTCCAGCGTGGCTGTACTGCCCATGTTCCTTACAGGCAGCCATGTTATCTTCCCTGCTGGGACTATGGCATCTCTATTATAAAATGGGGAGACTAACTGTTTAGATTGCTTGAACCATGCAGAACCTCTGAGTTCTACACACACGGGGAGTGATGTGGTCAAATCGGCAGCTTTATTACTGACTAAGGGACTTGGGGATAGGGCTTAAATCCACAAGAGATGGTCTCATTTATGTCCTGCTCTGAGTCAGGGGAATGTGCATAGTGGGATTGCACCTCTGCTTCCACCTCCTCCAGGGCTCTAGTGTGGAATGGTTCTGTTTATGCAGGTAATCAGCAAGTCTTCCAGAATTTGAATATTGTATAAATCAGCTGAGATGGGCATATTGATTATGTGATGCAAACAGTCAGGACCAGAATGAGAAACAGTCCTTTTCAGGAGGTGCCTGCCATGAGCTCATGGGATCTTCTGTCCCTCAAGCAAGGATTCTTGGACGTTAGATAGAAAAATCTTTATTAATGCTGGGTGTAGCGAATGCTGTTTGTAGCACATGCATAGAAAATGCCCTGTAGGGAAAAAATTGGTTCCTAAAACAAATGCCATCATAAACTTTTCTGAGCTATATTTTTAGGGTTAACTTTCATTTCCTGAGTCACTTTGGTGAGCACTGAGGAGAAGAGACCCAGAGAGAGATAATGCCCTCTAAAGGACTGCTCACATGTCACATAAGAGATTCATTTTATCTGCTTGGACAAGTTTATAAACTTGGCTATTTTTATTACGTTATCTATATTCTCTTATAAAGATCAGCCAGAAAGCTCTTAAAATGGAAAGAACTTGTGAATCTATTTTCTATCACAACAAAGAAAACTTTCAGTGGAGTAACTATTACTGCCCAGTTGGTCGGGGATACAGGAGGGAAAAGCAAGTTATAGCACTCTAAAGGCCGTGACTCAGAAAAAAAGAAGAGAAATCAAAATGGAGTGGTGGTGATGGTGGTAGGGAGGGTGTAGGAAGTCAATCCAGGGCAGAGAAATTATTATACATGGTTAATAAGTAAGAGACATGTGTGTGGTTAATTAAGGCTTGTAACAGTCAATTTTTAAAAATTGACTAATTTAAAAATAAAACTAGCAACTGTTTTTAGCAAGTTATTCTAAGATTTGTGAATATGAATATGATTTTTGGATCAAGTAAATTCATTTATATGGAAATTAATTTCTAAATTGTAGGTATTGGAAAGTGAGCAGGATTTGAGAGTCATTTAACCATACTCCTTTACACATTACTTTTTCCTAAATCATCTGATTGCTGGTATTTTATTTTAAACATGAAAATAAAAGGAGAAAAACCAGTTTTTCCAGAGTTAGACTCCACTGAAACTTGTGGGTCAAATATTTTACCCAAATATATAAGCCTTTTAGTGATTAAGCTAATTTGCTCTTTGCAAACTGTAACATCCTGTTTATAAAAAAGACTTATAAAGAGTGATCTTGAGCATGAGCTAGCTCTCCTAAAATCAACATATTGGTGAATTTATGTGTTAAGTGAGTCACAAATATTTGGATGAAGAGTTTCTGGATCTGAAAGAGAAAGTACTTGGGATAAAATGGCATTTTGGTTGCTTTGAAATGGAAACATTTGAAAAATTGAACTTTCTGACGAGCCTATCATATAACAGGTTTCCACCCACGTTTCTCTAGGAGTTCTGTGCACTTGTAGAAGTACATCTCCCATGGGCTGGATTTTAACCATCATGAAACACATTTAGTTTCCTTGTTGTGGTTTCTGTCTAGATGTCCCCCCAAAGCCTTATGTAGTCACGGGGCTTTTCCAGAGGTGGCTGAATCTACAGTATGTGATGCTGTTGTTAAGGGTATGTGATTACTCAGTCAGTCCACTCATTGGTTTGGCCACCCCCTCATCCTAGCAATCGGAATAAGACAAAGGGTAAAAAGACACCGAGAATCCCTCTTGTTGTTTTTGCTGTCCTCCCCTCTACCACACTGCTCTATCTTGGAGGCAACCTATCATGGACTGAAATCTGCACACTGAGAGCTAAGTCAACCTTTCCCTCTTTAACTTTGGGTGTTGGGTATTTTCTCTTAGCAATGAAGAGAAAAGTAACCAAGATACTCCATGACCCTTGCTAGAAATTATCTTTCAGGTAAAATACCATACAAAATAAAAGCTTTAATCATACGTTAAAGACAAAATTATTCCATTTGTTTAGTGTATTCCAGAATTAGTATTTGTCCCCAAAGCAAGGGAAGGCTGTGTCTATTCATGTGATTTGCCTGATAGAAAAATATTTCCTCTTCTTTTTAACCTGTGCCCTATAATATCTGAGAGTGTCTCTGTGTAACTCAAAGTCTCCCATATCTCTAGTGATGTCATCTTCAGTATCCTGTGTTTGAATTTAACTAGTGCTTGCTGTTTAGAGGTCATTTTCCTGAACTTGTGGGTTGGGTGTTAGTGAACCTGGTGAACCCAGACATAACCCCTGTTGAAGGGTCACTATCTCTTGGCTGCTGATTCTGAAATCCTTACCTCCTGCCCTGCCCTGCTGGGTGGCATATATGCTTTAAAGGGTCTTGCTGGGCCTCTTCATGCCTTTCTCCTTCAAGCACTTCAAACCCATTGCTGTTCCTGGACCTGTTTAGTTACTACATCGTGAGGGTCTGTGCTCCTCAGAGAGCCTTTCTTTCCATGTATCCCATCAGTTTTCCAAGACTGTCCCTCTGAAATGCCTGTCTTTCCAGGTCTGCCTAGATGCAGGCATTTCCCAGCTTAAATCCAGTTTAAATCCAGTGCCTCTTGGGGGATCCCCTGTTGTCTGTCCTTGTCTGCCCTTGGAGCTTTCTGCACATATAGTCAAACGCGATTATGGATTACATGCTCCCCAGTGAGTGAGTCTGGATCAAATCTTTCTACTCTGGCACTACCTGCCTTTCTATATTCCTCTCATATACTTGTCTGATGCCCCCATTCATGTATCTACTAAAAAATCCTTTAAATATACTATGTCTTTCCACATTGAACTAGTTCACATTTCAGTGCTCACTACTGAAAGCTCAACTTCTCCCTTCCAGAAGTGAAAATAATTTCTTCTGTGTCCTCTCATGGTGCTTATATATCCTCTTTTGCGGTCACTCCTACTCTGTTGTGGTTCATTGACTACAGGAGCCTCTCTCAGGTTAACTTGTGAGCTTCTCAAGAGAGGGGATTGACCTTAGTAAGGACACCATTCCTGTGCCCAGAAGAAAGGACGTTGAAATGTGTGCAGATTCTTGAGGGATTGTTCCCTCAGGGATGAAAGTCAAGCAAAAGAACTTTGCTGCCAATATTTTCATAAGAGCTAGGGATTAAAATTGGTGAGCAATGGGTTCCTCTGAAAACTCACAGAACAAGGAGAGGACTGTGACCTGAGAATTGCTGTTTAATCCTCATAAGACCCATAAGACCCATAAGACTGTCTCTGGCATTTATTATCAACCTATTGTATTCATTACTTTCCAGTAAGAACTATTACTAACATTGCCCACTTCCTGTTCAGTTTGGCATTGCATCAGCTGGCTAGTATTGACGTAAAGGTGTTAAGTTATATTCACACCCTCCCCAAAAATGTCATCTGTACCTGAATTCATTGCAAATGAATAAATGCAGGTACAGAAGCAGAAAGAGAAACGAGAAACATCAGATAATTAAATGTTAGACTAGTTGAGATAGATTTTACATGAAGAAGAAACTTGGAGTGAAAAAAAAGTCATCGGGACCTGGAGAAGTAAAAAAAGGTCTCATTATGAAGCATTTTTGCTAAATTTGCTCTTAAAACAACTGACAAGAGGCAGAGGGTGAAGCTGAGTGGGAGGGAACTTCCCAAGCATGCCTAAGGCCCTGGGTTCCATCTCCAGCACCAGAAAAACAACATGTAGCCAAACAGTATTGATAAGAATTCCACAAGCGAAAATGAGAAATTCAGTATGAAGAAGAACATGGGTCAATTAATAAGAATATTCAATTTCTACGTCTTGTAAGCCAAAACTCAGTCGATAATTTTTGCCAATCACCTAGACTGCTTACCTTAAGGAAATGGAAGTTATTTCGTTCCATTTTGTTTTTCTCCCACAGGTGGGTCCGATATTGAGTATCTGGACTTCTACAAGCCTGTCGTGTGGTTCTGGATCCTTGTAGGGCTGGCATACTTCGCCGCTGTGCTGAGCATGATTGGAGACTGGCTCCGCGTGATATCCAAAAAGACAAAGGAAGAGGTGAGAGCTGAGAAATGCGCGAGGCATTTGGGTGGGCTAATTCAGGAAAGAGTTTTACAGTGTTTTTTTTTTTAAATGTTCATATTTTTCAGTATTGAACATTATTTGAAATGTTTCATATTTGTATTTGTTGTGAAATTACTGTCTGACACAGTGGGAAAATATATGAGTTATAACCCATTAATTTAAAACATATTTATTAAATACTTTTAGGTGCCTGATGCTCAGGGAGGTGCCAGGTACTGAGGTTGATCTACACCACAAAAAAATATAACTTAAAGTATTATTTTCATGATTTATCCTTTCTTGTTTGGCTTTCTTTCTCAAGAACAAAAGTGAATTTTATCATGTAAAACTAACAGAAAATATTCGTATCATAAATATTATAGTGTGAAATAATGAATGTTTTTATTTAATGTGGACTTTTTTTGTATGTTTGACTATTCCTTCCTTTATGGCTATGTAAATGTATTTGTACACACGCATGCGCACACACACACTCTCCAAGCCCATGTACATCATGACCATTTACCCCTGTGCTCATATTTTAGCTGCTCAGAAAGCTGTCTTTTCACTTATTCTGTACTAGTCTACGTAGAGAATAAATGGTGTAAGTTTGATTCATGAAATTTGAGAAAATTGAAATGTTAGATATTGAGTTTGAATTTTCACCCTTTTGAAAATTAAACTTTGCTTTCCTATTACGTGTTCAGAAGTACTGCCAGTTTGAGTGTGGCACAGGTAGGTTTTTCCAATGAATTATGTGTTTTTTGCTGCTGAGTCCTGGCTTTGCTAATTATTTAAGTAAACAACAAATCATAAAAATCAGCACCATCCACTTGCTCATTGTCTTCTTTTAATTATCTCCTCCATCTCATTATTTGCTGTTCATAGGCCAAGAGAGATCTGGATTGAAACTTTGATTGGTACAAGTGCAGGATCTTTAAACATACAATGAAAAGAAATGGAATAAGATACCCATTTCTCACCATGAACATTTTCTTTGAATCTGTCAAGTCATACAATCTTCACTGATCTTAGATGCCTAATGCAACCCACAGGAGGGCCAGGGACCCTCCTTCCTTCCATGGGGAAGCACCCTCAACTCTCAACTGCGATTCACATACTCGGTCTCTGAACATGTCAATCTGTACTTGAGTTGCATCATATAAACAACATTTTTCTATTATATGCAAGTTAGCAAAACACTAACTCCAATTATATGAACTTAAATTGTTTGAAAAGTCTTTTAACAGGATCTGAATGAGCTGGATTCACCTCAATCTGATGCTTCATTCGTGAGGATATGAGAGAGGGGGAGAGAGAGAAAAGAAGAGAGAGAGAGAGAGAGAGAGAGAAAGAGAGAGAGAGAGAGAAAGCAGAGACAGAGAGAGATGAAACAGAGACAGAGAGAAAATTTTCTTTAACTTTATATATACTTTTAAGGACTTTGATATGCTATTGGCAAAAAGGAAACTGTAGCTATGAAACATTTTGGATACCATAGGTAAGAAAAAGAACTGCTCAGACATTCAGCCATAACCTGGCTTTTGAGTGCATTTAAAGCACACAGGTGCTCACACACACTCATATATTCACCTTTTTTCCCCTTAAAATAGATTCAACAGAACACATCACATATAGTTCATTAATTAGAAAAATTAACATTAGTCTGATCATTAGGAAAAGTATGCACATACATAAATATAAGTGTACAGATATTCTTTACTACATATATGCAAATTAATACTGTTGTGGGTCACAGTTGTAAAATTTGAAACTGCTATATAATGGGAAGATTTGATGTCTTTGTGATACTGATGAAATTGATAATAGAATATTGGACTGAAGTTTAAACATTTGTGTCATGAGAAACTGCTACTTTTCATAATGAGACAGACTGACACAAAGCATTATCAGCCCCCTTTTCAGAGTTTTAGCGAGGTGACCAACTCCACAAAATCTGCCGGCTGTTAGAAAATGCTTGAGCTATAAGCAGCACGCTTGTCTTCCCACACGTCTGGAGAGGTGACATCCAAACGGTGCTGGAGCATTGGTTTCTGGCGGGCCCTTCCTCTTTGGCTGGCAGCTAGTACCTTCTCACAGTAGCCAGGAGGCCTTTCTTCTGGCCTGAGCAGGGATTGAGGGAGGCGTGGTGACTGCTGATATTCTTTTAAGGACTATTTGCTATTCTTAAGGACTCTGTGTTATTGCATTAGGGCCTCATGCAGTTATCTCCTTAAAAGCCCTATTTTCAAAGATGGGCGCATCAGAGGTTACGGCTTGAAAATGTATTTTGAGAGGATACAGTTCAGATCGTGATATTTTCCTTTCAAGTGAGTTTATTTGTCTACATAACTGATATGTTATATATGAAAAGTGAGGATAGATGTCTCTCATGGCTTTCAGTGAGAAGTGTGTGTGTTTTCATGCTAACTAACCAGAGAGGGTTTGTCTTCGCCACAGATCATTTGGCTTCCACCTTGTGTTTCTAAGTAATGTGTCCTTCCTGGGTGCTTGGATCTGTAGAAAGCACATGCGAGGAGAGGTCAGGACTGCAAGTTTATATGCGGCCTCTGAAGCTGCAGCTGCTCCGAGAGCTGCACCAGTGGAAGACCTTTCTATCTGAGCAGATGTGTGTTTGCTGATTTATAATGCAACTTACAGACATGCAGAGTAAGCTTACAAATCCAATGGAGAATGTGAGCACAGAAAGGGAAAGGCAATTTATAATTTATCTGAAGGTGATCGTGAACCCAAAAATTTTATAAATGAAACAGTTCACAAGTTTCTGCAGCAATAGAAAGAGAATATTAATGTTTTAAATAATGTAATAAAATCTATAATTAAATTAAAACCGACTGAATGTGTTCTTGCTGTCATCCATAAGCAAATGAACCAGTAGTGACCGGGTGATTACTCACTATGAATTCTTTACCTTCCATGACTCAACCATTAGAGGCTCCAACTTTTAAAAGCTTCCAAAATCTTCAGAGGCAGTAAGACCTCTTAACCCTTTCCCTTCCCTTCTTGTCCCTTCCCATCCTTCCTTTGTGGGACTGAGTTCATGTAAATCACCGTGCTTCGACACTGATTTACACCCCAAGGCTCCAAGTTTTTTTCTAATTTTTAGTTTTCCTGAATAAAATTGCTGAATATTGTTAATAATAGAATCCTCTCCATAAAGACATAATTAATATAGATTATAAAAATACAGACTAAAATACAGAATCGGATTCCAATACTAAGCACATATATTTCCTAAAAGAATACATTTTGGCTAATTAAAAACCCCAGCCTTATGTTCTTTTTTTCCTCCAAAACAAATTGTTTCAACCACATTGGTAAGATAAAGCACATAGAGCTTACGATATATGGCCCTATTTCAAGAATCATTTTATGAAATTATGATGTTTGGACATAAGAAAAATCCCCACGCTGAAATAAACCACCGTGGTGTGCCTCATAATCTGAAATACTTGAAGACGTGATTAGTGGGAACACTGCATTATTTCAGAAGCACCAGATATATTTAGAGTTGATCTGTATTCCTCCAGAAAGGCAATAATGATCTCTATTAACATTTTTTGCTGGAGACATATGTGTTTCTGAAAAGTGTTCATTTCTTGTTTAAGCTGTAACATAGGACTCTAGGCATATGTTTTATAGTAAACATTGCTATGACTAATTACTTGTCTGGGAACCCCTCGTTGTTTGAGGAAATGATGTTCCCATTTGTAAAATAAAGCTTAGGTAGGTAGTAGGCATAACACAGTTTTGCTGTTACCCAAGGCAGGTGTAGTGGAAGACGTGACCATAGCATTCAGAGAGTAGGATTCCCATTGGCTGTGGAAGCTAACCAAAAAGCCAGCTTTCTCTTTCTGCAGACCAATGCTCAGTTACTTTCTGAACCCATTTATTGTGCATAATAGCTGTGCTTGCAGTGTACTGCTTGGATTCCTATCAGTGCACCCCAGATTCTGAAATGCCCCCATGTCTCTGTGGAATAAACAGCAGCGCAGCTGCCCTCAGCACTGGCCACAGTGAATGTATGACCAGGCAACACTTCCTTGCAAGTTATTTTTTAAGTCTGATGTTGTCTAGGAAGTTAGGGAAAACTCATTTTAATGAGTTGGCTTTATGTTAAGAAAATACCTTTTATCTAGTGCCGAGAAGCTTTGGAAGGCTTGTCACTTGACAAGGGACCAAAAATACGGAGGGACATTATTTTCCTCATCGATTTCCTAGTGGCAACATTGGTTTCTTCTGAATTTCACTTAGGGCAGCTGTGACCTTTACAGGACTTGGAAGCTCTTTATCTTGGCCAAAAATAAGCAATTAAATGACAGTTGCAAGCTGGGCCCTGGAAATTTTGCAATAAAGCATTTTATCACTTCTTTAGGAGTGCTGTTAATGTGAAAAGTTTTATACTCTATTTAAGAAAAAACCCTAGACTTTACTCTGAAAGCCACGGGGAGCTGTGGAAGGCTTTTAAGCAAGTGGAAGGAATGTTTTGGCAACACTGGGAAAGGCAGACAAGGAACAAACCAAGTTGGATGCAAGGCAGTGAGTTGGGAGAAAGATGAAAGCATAAATTTAAAAAATACTTTAGGGACAGGAAAATGGAATTTGGTAACTCATAATCTGAGGGCATAAAAGAGAAAGGGAGTGGCATCTGTGATTCTAACCTTGGGTAGGATTACCCAACCCAGGAAAGAACACAGGAAAAGGAGAGGTGTGGAGATGAATGAAATGGTTGTGTTGTGATCAGGTGCCTGGCGGCTATGTTGGATACTGGGCCATTCATGCAATTTCACGTTCAATGGATGCCTGGAATGTAGGGAAAATGGAAACTGGGCGATAGCTGGCAGTTATTACTGTACTAGTGATAATGGAATTTTGGGGTGCAGATGAGCTTGGCTCACAAAGACTTGTAGAGCTGATCTGCAGTGGAGCTACAAGGGCAAGGTGAAGCTACAGCTTCATGTAAGGGACGGATG